AAGAGTATACTTGTGTTTCTGTAATGCAGCTGACATCATTATGGAAATTAATCGCAAATAAAAACAATAGAATACACTTTCCCATTTTCAACTTTCAGACTTTGATCTCTTTTTAATTTTTTTCTTCCCCTTGCCTTATTTGTATTCCTTTTCATGCCCATCAATTTGTTTCTCTATTACTGTTATTTTTGCAATTTTCTGGTTCCTTTATAGCTTGCACTAGTCTCTTTGATCTGCTTCCCTTCAAGCTTTGGTGCTGTTTTTCATGTTCCACAAAAAAATATTTTTGCCCCTCTTCCCTTTATTCTTTTGATTTAACTCCTTCTTTTTAGAACAAGAACAAGCTGCAGCTTTGAGCAGACAGGTAAATGTTTTTAAAAGAGTAAGCTCTAAGAATCCTCAGCTGTGTGCTGATGAATAGAAATGGTTGAGAGCCCACTTCAAAGGCTCTCAAGAACAAAGAACCTTTTTTGAGGCCACTAACAAACCCACCAATTCTTTCTGACCCATCTTTGCCAAAAGATATGAGCTAATGACAGGACAGACCTGTCTTGTAAGACTAGCCAAGCAGTCTTGGGAACAAATGTAGCCTTGACATAATCAGGGGAAAACATGCTGTTTATCTCTTTAATAACCATCTTGAGGAAAATTAATGTTACTTTGTCCTTTGTGTAGAACTGTAATTGGATTGTGTATTTCATTTATATCTGGACAAAGGCCAGGATATTGAAATACTTCTCCATATTAAATTTTCTTGTCTAAAAATTAGATTTTATTGGCATTCTCTTTCCGAGATTTCTTCATTAAAAGCTTCATTAAACATAAATCTTCTATCTCACAGCAGAAAACAAAATTATTTTAAGGAGGTCATTTGAAAAGTCTCTTGCAAGGGTGGTGCTAAACTCTTTATTGGTGACTCGTCTTCCCAGGGGGCTGGCACTCCAGGGATAAAATGATAATTGCATTGTGGCCAATATTAATGACATTGATAGTTGAAGCTATATCACAAGTTGTGGTGTTCTAGCGTCTAAGATTATTACAAACACGGTTTCAAAAATTGGGGCTAGGAAGTGAGCTGCAGAGGCCTGATTCAGTGACATCCAAACCTTGGGGGCCTGTTCTGCTCTGGAAAAGATGAAGTCATCCATCAGCGTTTACATCGCTAATGTGCTGAAAATCTCAACTAGGCTTTAAATACATTCAAGTACTAAACTTGGATTGTGGCTTCTGAAAAGCAACGCACACCCACATCACGAGGGCAGGAAGCAAAGCAACTGCTCCACTGTTTCCACCTTCAAACGCCCCCCCCCCCCGCCCCCCCGCCCCCCGCCAAATCTCAGCCTCACGCAACATGCAACATACTCCTGGGGGCAGAGTCTGTCTTGGTCTCTTGCTGCTGTTGTTCCTGGCTCACACCTTTCTGAGGGGAGGGAGATAATGACATAGTTTGGCTTGAAAGGCTTCCCCACTGGGCTGCAAACTTCATGTGTAACAAAAATAAAGAAATGCGATGTGAGATGTCAATAACAAACAATCATAAGAAAGCGGGGTCCTGTCTACAAAGAACTTAAAACCAAGGTGTGTCTGTGTCAAAAGCCTGCAATGTGGGAACATTCCCTCCCATTGAATACTGAGTATAAAACATGTATTAGATAAATATACTTTTTTCCCAAAAGGAGAAAATAGCAACAACTACAAAAACAACACCTAGTTGTGGCTGTAACATATGAGCTTGCCTTGCAACATTTTGTTAGTTTTCTCCTTATACTTTTTTCTATTCCACCTAGATAGTCTTTTTAAGGAACCACGGGTGAAATGATCCCGTCTCTGCATCTGGACACGTGCCCCATGAGTGTGAGATGAAGGTGATGACCTTCGGGGTTCAGGGGAGCAGGGCTGGGGGTCTAGGGGGCAGGGCTGGGTGCTGAGTAGGGAGCACAGAGGAACCAGATTCGCAGGCTCTAGAAGCCAGGATGGGTTTGAAGCCCCACATCTGGAGAGAAGATGGGACCCAGAACTGGATTCTAGGCCAAGTGTCAGCAAGAGTGAAGCCAAGAGGCAAATGGAGCACGTGGGTGTCAGGAGGGGTGACTGGAGTATCCCAAGGCCACTTGCTGTGGGGCTTGGCTGATTCTTAAAGGTCATCTGAGGCTGACCTCTAGGGGGATGAAGCGACTGTGCAAGTGGTCCGCTCTCCCTCTCTTAATCCTGAAGACAAAGGTGAAGCGTTTATTGGCCTTTGTTGTTAGAAATCTTTTACTCTCAGGACAAGTCAAGATCAGGAGTAAGTCCCCATGAGCACTCTTGCTTGGGCTGATGCAGACATGGTGTGGTCTGGAGCCCTGAGCCTCACAATGAACACTCTTGTTTTGGGTCCAGGGTATCCTGGGCTGGCTGCCAGGGCAAGGGCATGGAAAGGGATGTCAGGGTATCAGAGAGCGTGGCCAACTGAAGTTGGAATGAATTCACAAGAAGGAGGCCAATAGAACTGCACACGTTATGAACTGTGGACAGTTATTGGTCACTCCTTCCGCACTTTCCTCCTCACCAAACCTCCTTCAAATAACTGCTCCAGGGGGGTCTAACAAGGTCAATAACAATATAAAAGAAAATGAAATAGTTCTGACACACAGACAATATGAGAAAAATGCAAGCGAGAGCAGCCAAACTGAGCAAAAGATGAATAAGATTCACCAGAAAAGCGTTCCAGAGGGCAGAAACAGTGCTGGGGAATTACACAGGCTTAACAAAGCAATGCCTCTACGAAGGACCACAAAGCAGCAAGACCAGAACCGAGGGGAGAAATGTCAAGTCAACAGGGGAACACAGGAAATGGGGAGTAAGTCAGAAATACTCTTGTAGATTTTAATGTACTCTTCATGGTTCATGATAAAGTGGACAGAAACAAGGTCAGGGTACAGAATGCCTAAACGACATGATTAATAACATAGCTGTGAGGTAGAATGTATCACCCTACCCTCCAGATATTGAGGTTGTTGGAAGTCTTGACAACCTATGTTCACTTCTTGGTTAGCTTACCCAGTTTCATGGCTTCGGACACATTTTATGTGCTGACACCTCCTCAGTGTGTATCTTTAGCCTGGACTTCTCCTCTAGACTCCTGACTCATAGTCATCCACCTACTCAACATCTCCACTCGGGTGTATAATAGGCATCTTATGCTAAACATATCAAAAAAATTGAACCTCTGATATGGCATGCCTACCAACCTTCTGTTCTTAGTAGTCATCCTCATCCACATATCAGTAAGTGGTAAGTCCATTCTAGCTTGGGCCATGCCCACCTCCCATCCAATCCATCCATAAGTCAGACCAGCTCTACCTTCAAAAAACATCCAGAATCCAATTGCTTCTCAGCACCTCCACTCCTAATCCAGGCAACCACAGGCCTCTCCACGCCTGTCGTCGGCCCCTCATGGTCTGTTCTGTCACAGCAGCCAGAATGATCCCATTAAACATAAGACAGATCATGTCATTCTTTCTCTCAAACTTTAAGTGCCTTCCCCTTGCGGAATCAAATCCAAAGCCTTATAATGACCTGTAACTATCCCCCAGTGAATTCTCCTAAATGCCTTCTCCTGCTGTTCTCCCTCTTACCCACTCTGTTTTGACCTCACTGGCCACGAACAGTGTCTCCTGTCTCAGGGCCTTTGCACATGCTGCCCTTCTGCTCTTTCCTATTTGTCCACGCCACACACTCCCTCACTTCCTCCAGGTCTTTCCTCAACTATGCAAAGTATTCTTTAAACAGAGACAATATTAGGCCATACTGATTTTCAAGAGCTGTAGATGAGGGTTCAAAACAAACACTGATTTAGGGGCACGTAAGAGCAATGATGAATGTTCACATTAGTGCTTTGCACTTTACCAATTCTCCAACATGCCATTTTTAAAATCATAAAAGCAGCACTGTCACTGCCTGGCATCATCCATGTTTTACAGTGGAGCCTAAAAGCTCGAACAAGCTAAGGTCACAGAGCCAGTAACGTCTAGAATCAGAAAGCAAAGCCCTCGATCCAGTCTTGTGGCCCCGGAGCAAATGCTCTTCCTCTTCTAAATGGAAGTTTATTATATATGATTATAATTGTAGTAATAATTGAAACAATAATGATAGCAGCTAACGTTTAGTGAATTCAGTTCATTGTAGGCACTTTATACATATTCATGCATTTCATTCTCACAGAAGCCTAGGAGATAAGCACTATTATTATCTGCAGTTTACAGAGAAGGGGACTAAGTCAGTGACGGAATAAGTAACCCGTCCAAGTAAACCGGTGGCGATGGCAGAGCCAGGACTTACACCCAGGCACTTGGACTCCATACCCTGGGTCTTTAACCACCATGCAAAATCCCTGCTTGGTCTTAGAATATTTTTGCCTGCTTTGCTAGACATGCTAGGTACAGTTTACAGTTGGACATCAGTGAATTTTTCCATTGGGTAATTAGAGATCAACTATGCACACCAAAGAGTTCTTAAAGACATAGGCAGTTTCAGAAATACCAGCTTTGGGTTTAAGTGTGAAAGATTCAATGTAGTTGCTAATCATCGGGTGTGGTAAGCCAGTCCAGCAGACATGGTGGTTCCTGGCATATCCCATGACCAGCTTTTCTCAGGCACGTTTTATCTCTAAACAAGATGTTTACTGCTGCAGATTAACCAGCAGAGACGTCCCTTTCAGCAGCAACTTATATTTCTTTTTTCTTTCTTTTTTTTTGATATTTTGTTCAGATAGAGTGGGGGAGAGAGAGAGAGAGAGAGAGAGAAACATCGACGTGAAAGGGACACATCGAGTGGCTGCCACCCTCACAACCCAACCAGGGCCGGGGACAAACTGCAACTGAGGTACATGCCCTTAGCGGGAACCGAACCTGGATCTCTCTGGACCACAGGCCGACGCTCTAACCGCTGAGCCAAACCGGCCAGGGCTCAAGTTATATTTCCAGGGAGGCTCCCGGCAGGCAGAGGGAAGAGCGTCTTACCTGGGGTGATTGTAGGCTATCCGCCTGAACTCATTGTTCCAGTTGGGTCTTCCATAGAAGGTCTTCTGCTTCAATCCCGTGATCACATCCATGTTTTCATCCCAGTGTAAAGCTATATGAATAGCCTACAATAAACACTCTGGTGTCAGATGGCATTTAGAAAAAAAAAAAACAAAAAAAAAACGGCAATCTGCTACTAAATAAAAAACAAAGCAATTATGCTCACTTGAAGATTTAATACTCAAAACATTCTTTATGGGGCCGGAAATGCTTATCATTAGTATCAGGTATGATGGATTCTGCAGTTTCAGATGGGTGTCAGGTGTACCCGCCGTGGGCACTGTTGATACAGGGCACCTTCCACATAGTAGATGTGCAGGAACACGAGCCTGGAAGGAAGATTTTTCCTTAAAAAATGAGACTGCTAGAGTAAATTTGGTTAAGGGAAAGCAAGCATTAAGCGACTTCCTTTTTTTCCTTCCAAACTTCACAAAAATTAATCAGTACTTTTGTCTTCATTCACTTACCACTGAACCTGGGGGATCTGAAATGGATAGGCCGAAAGGATAGGAAACACGCAGTGTATCAGACCTGCTCCTGGGTGGAAAGGGTTTGAAGTGCACTGTCCGGGTTCCAGTCCAGGGAGGACGCTGAGTCCGGCAGACAGGACATGGTGGGCAAACATAGCAAGGAGCCTGGTTGGAGCTCCGTGCTCAACCGTTTGCCTTCAAATTACATAAATGCGCCCAGGCACCAGGTAATTAGTGGTGGACAGATCAGAGCCTGCGCATAGCATGCATAGTGCTAACGTTTTTGATGTTGTTGAATTCTGGTAGCTAGCTACCTTGCTTTTTACCTTCTGGGGTTTGTGTCCCCTGTGCTCATCCCTTAGACCCCTCCACGGCTCTTGAACTCACGTGTTTTCACCCTTCGGCACTCTGGTTGCACACATCTTAACTTGTCCTGCTCCTGACCACTTTGGCTCACAACCCTGTTAGGCTCGACTCTTGTCCCGGGTTCCCACTGCACACCTGACCCCCAGCGGGGCTTCTAATCAGTCTGGAAAGCAGTCAGGGCTAGGGAACAGGGAGGTTGAGCAGAAAATATTGGTCATGCCCTAAGAGGCCAGTTGATGGTGGCAGACCATGGTGCAGTTGCAGAGATCCAGGCTGCAGGAAGTCGCCACCAGACTAGTCCTGCCACCAGGTAGCCCCTGGAATTGAGTTTGGGAAGAGGACGAGGAGGGATAAGGATGGTGAGAGGAAGGCAGGTTTGTCGGGGGAGAGTGAAGCATAAAAGTCAAGACAAGAGTCCAGGAATAAGCGCTGAGGTGGTGGGTGAGGACTGAGCCTTGGACACGGGCAGAAGCCCTGTTATCAGAACTGGAGTCAAAGTCAGAGTCGTATTAGCCTCCAGGGTAGAGGGGCAGTGTTGCAGGCCCCCGCCCTCTTGCTCAACAGCAGGATTGGTGGGGGCCATACAGTGAGATGGTTTCTGCTGTGGGCAAAGAAGACGACAGAGTCCATTTATTTTTGACTAAGCGCCAAGATCAAGTGACCAGCTCAGCATTATTCTCCGTGGCTTCTTCACCACGTGGCTGAACACTGCTTCTTCCCGATTCTATTTGCATCACAGAATCCTATTTCTTCTACTTCTCTCCGGCTTTTCTTTTGATTCAAGGAAGAAACATCAGATTTTGTTTTCCTATGATATTCTCCTGTCTCCAAAGGTAGCTGCCTCCAGTCTCAGCTCTCTGCCCCTCCTGTGGACCCTCGCCCCCCAGAGCGCTGCCATTTTCAGGTCGATGAGCATAACCCACAGAGATGCACCCAGGCTCTCCTCCCAAGCCCCCATCTTCCTGCCTGACTAGAGTCCTGCATCTCCAACTCCCCAAATGTATTTTTACGACGAGTTCTTTCTGTTTCCTCAAACTGATCATCATAGCTAAAAAGGAATCTTCCTGAGTCATTGGTGGCCTCAGCTGTCGAGCGGTTCCCATAAGCGGGCAGTGTATGCCGAGCGGGAGGTACAAAGGAGACACAGGAGGTCTCTGCTTTGTGAGGAACTGGTCACTGAAGTGGGGGGGGGGGGCAGCCCAAAGGCATGACCAGGAGTCAGACCACGGTCCTCGGGGCCAGAGACAGAAGCAAGGTGCTCTGGAAAAGCAAACAAATGGCTCTGGGGAAGGCCCGAGGAGTTTGGACCAAGAGAACTGGGAAAGGCTTTACAGGCGACTGAGCTTTAGAGAATGACTCGGCACAGTAGGCAGTGGGGAGGGCCGTGCCAGGGAGAGGGGACAATGTGCAGGCAGACATGTTTCAGAGCATGACAGGAGAACACCCGTGGTTTGGTGGCCACAGTGCCTGAGGAAGCGATGAGGGTGGGTAGGACACGTGGGTTGCCGTCAGGTCATACTTTCAGCTCGGGCATCATTTCATAGGAAAAAGGGCCTTTATTGCTGATGGCAGTGGTGCCATCGAGCTGCCAATCACTGACGTCCGGGCTTTTGGAACTGCATTTGTTCCATATTTCTCAGCCCAATGCTCAATTAATCTCCAAACCCTGTTGATTTGCCCTTTGCAATACCTTTTCCATCTGTTCCTTCTGTGCTTGTCACTCTGCCACGCTGAGGTTGTCGAATTCAGTTTAGCAACTGGCTATTTCTAAAACGGCCCCTTGATTCTCACCAACAGATTATATCAATTATTTTATTCCTGGACTGTGAGCATCTCAAGAATTTTCAACATGTCATGGAAAACTTTAAGAACAGTATTTTAATTTACTTGTATTCGGAACAAAAGTTCATCTTATGCACGCTGTGGGAAGGGCGGAGCTGGGATGGGGCCCCGCTGCATTGCCACAGAATCCCACAGGGCCCCAGTCTCCCAAATGGCTGGGCACTGCTGGGTGGACACAGGGTCAAGGTGTTTCAGAAGCAGAACAGCAGGGTTCCAGGAGGCCAAAGACAAAGCTATACCTGCGCTTCACCAAAGGGCGCATCAGTCAAGAACACCACTTGAATAAGGAAAATGTTTGTTTGGAAAACATAATTCACAGCATTGAATTTATTGAGATGCTTCAAGCCTAGTCCCCCCAACCCCCCCCAAAAAACTGTATTTCAAATCATCCTAGAGAGACAGATATTTAAGGCTGACTGCAAGTCAGACCTTAAAAATTCAGTTAGTTACTGAATTTCAAGCAAAAGTTTACCCGTGCAGAGGCAGAATCGAATGACACTGATGTCCTATAGTGCCGCTGTGTGTGTGTGTGTGTGTGTGTGTGTGCGTGGAGGGGGGGCTCGCTAGCTGACAGGAGCGCATTCATTTGTGAATTGAGTATATTTAGTGGTTAATGTAAATCTCCTTGGCTCACACATACGTTTTTTAACGTAAATATCAATGGAAGCTGCTACGGAAGTGTGGACTGGAACATATCCCTCATAACCCAGTAATCATGTCACTGTTAGCCTCCATGTTTGAGGAGTTAAAAATGATTTAAAATTTAATAGTTGTTCAATATTCTCAACACTGAAATACTACCGAAGGGCGATGTTTTAATATACATTATTTTTGGTAAATTCAACCGTAATATTTCTAATACAATAGGCTGCACCACACCTGCCACAGCAGAAGATTATCTTGGTGAATTAACACTCATGCACACAATCTCTAAGAATGCCTTAAGAAACAAACATCTCTAGATCAATCATGTGTTCATCATGATTATTTTCTGTAGGAGCTCACATACTTTAGGATATAAAATGCTGATTACAAACACCAGGGAATTTTTTCCCGTTTAACTCTGAACAGCTCAAAGCATTAGAAGCTCAATGCAACAAGGCAGCTAATGATATTTGCGTGATGTCACTAGAATGACAAATGCCACTTTCAGTAACATAATTTTTCTTGGGTTTCCTGACGTGGGATTGTCTTTCACTGACTGCTCTTCTCCTCAGCGTGTTAACTGGAGGTCCTTCCATTGCAACGATTTGAAGGGCCCTTTCTCATCTGTTTTACATGATTCTCCTTTCCCTTCTAAGAACATAAAAATAGTTATTTCATGCTACCAGAAAACTATAGAGCTCATTATTGAGATCGTCCCTCTTCCCTTTGCTCTAGTATTAGATGGCTTAGATAAAACGGCTCATTCTCAATCTTATCAATACCTGGTTTTCATCCCAGCCGGTAAGAAATATGTGATAGCTCAGAAGGTGAGTCTTCCCCTGCTCACTCATGCGTGTCTCCAGCGAGAGTAAGAGATCAGCAAACCACTCAAAAGCTCTGGAATCCCGGCAAACCCAATAGAAATACACCTGTCGAGAGAAGAGGAAAGCTTGGATTTGTCCCTCTTTTCACAATGTGCTGATAATCGCAGACTATTTTATTTCTATTAGATTATTCGAGCCCAAATGGGCACTTCTGAAAAATAACATGCTTCTCTCTGCCAGTGAATAGTCACACTGTGATTTCTTTGGGAAAAGAAAAAATTCACAGAGTGTTTGAAAAGGCCCAGAGTGAATTCAGAGTCAGGAGCCTGTCGGCTGCTGCCAGTTTCTCTGGACGAAAATCAATTCCCCACATTCCTGGCTGCGCTTCTTCTGAACAAGGTGAAGGACCCTAACCAGCTGTGCCCTCACTGCTCCCGAGGGGATCGACTGTTAGACCAGCCCTCCATCTGTACTCGCGACCCACGCTGGGGATTTACACCCTCTCCTCCAGGACCCCAAAGGCTTGTGTGCTGATCCACTTCACCAGCTCGCCCTCCGGGGGGTGCAGATTAGGGAAACTGCAGACCTGAGCTACAGAGCCCATTTCCCCTGGGCCAGACATGCCATTGTCCAAGAGGCTTGTGGGTGGTGGCTATGGTTGTGTGTCAACTGCTGTAATAAAAGTATATCTAGGCCTGGCCGCTGTGGCTCAGTGGATGGAGCATTGCCCCACGGAGTGAGAGGTCCTGGTTCGATTCCTGATCAGGGCACTTGCCCGGGTTACGGGCTCGATCCCCAGTGGGGGGCGTGCAGGAGGTGGCCGATGGAGGTTTCTCTCTCACATCGATGTTTCTATCTCTCTCTCCCTTCCTCTGTCTCTAAAAACATCCATAAAAACATATTTTAAAAAGTATATCTAGGGCCCTGGCCGGTTTGGCTCAGCGGTTGGAGCGCTGGCCTGTGGACCAGAGAGTCCCGGGTTCTGTTCCTGCTACGGACACGTACAAAAAAAAAAAAGTATATCTAGGAACATTTAAATTGTAAAAAACCACCTCTCTGTGTTTAGTGAATGGCATGTGACAAGAAGTAGTTTGGGTCTGTTAAAAACACAGGCTTAGTTTCTGTGCGTTGAGCTTTAGATAATTGTCTCTGGAAGAAACCACAGGAGAGAGAGCTATTAATTCTCTTGATTTTTCTCACACTCCTACCTCCTGCTGCCCACGACTGTTTCCTGCGACCCCTCCCCAAACAGACACATCTCGACTGCCTAACAAGCCCTGCCAGGGCTGGCCTTGGGCTCCACCAGGAAATGTCTCCCACGTCCATGCTCCCCTCCCCCTCGGGCAGCCAGCCCGCAGGCTCGCCATCATATAATGAAAGTTATAGGTGAGAGTTAATTAACAGATAAAATTCATGAGGAGAAAAAAAAATCAGAGAATTTATTTCAAGGCTAACCATCTTGCTTTTTCTCTCTGGCTTGGGCAGGAATTTAAAATATTAGCAGGCAGGACGAGTAGAAGTGGTGATGGTACGACTTTTTCTCTGAAGGATTCCGGCTTTCATATTTGTGGACAGCTGCCACTTGGAAGGGTCTTTGGAATATTAATTCCAGAAAAAATTATAATCTCTCAGTGTGCTAACCCCCCAAAAGGAGCGCCTGTCTCCTCAGCTGTGAAACTGAGCCAATGGATGCTCCAGCGAACGCCCCATGAACCCCGCAGGTGCAGCGACTGCCTTCATCCACACACCTGTTGACTCGACAGTGTATTCAATGCTTTCTCTAAGGCAATGCTCTTGGCTCTGGAACTATGAGAGCAAACAAGAGAGACAGAAATCTGCTGTCCTGATAGAGTTTGCATTTTATTTATTTATTTATTTTTTTAATCCTCACCCGAGGACATTTTTTTGATATTTTGTTCAGCTAGAGTGGGAGGGAGAGAGAGAGAGAGAGAGAGAAACATCGATGTGAAAGGAACACATCGAGTGGTCGCCACCCACACGACCCAACTAGGGCCGGGGTCAAACTGCAACCGAGGTACGTGCCCTTAGCGGGAACCGAACCCAGGTCTCTCCAGACTGCAGGCCGACGCTCTAACCCCTGAGCCAAACTGGCCAGGGCTAGAGTTTGCATTTTAGAGGAAGAAGAAAGATGATCATTTAAGAAATGAAGTACAGAATATGTCAGCCAGTGGTCAGTACTGTGGCAAAACATAAGGCAGGCTGGAAAGGTTTGCAATATGAGGTCACATGGTCAAGGAAAGGGGACCTTTGAGCAAAGATGTGGAAGAGGCCAGGGCGTGGAATAGTTAGGGGAGGAACCCTATAGATGGAAGGAACCCTGGTGGGAACTGGCAGGGCAGAGTCAGGAGGACGGGAGGGCTGGAGAGAGCTGGGAGGGCGTGGCAGGGTGCCAGTGGTCAGCAGGGCAGTGCCATGATCTGAGGAAGGTCGTGAGGGAGGGATCCCTCCTGCTGCTGAGTTGCAAACAGACTGGGCTGTGTGTGAGGTGGGGGTGGGGCGAGGATGAGAGCTTGGAAGCCAGGAGGCTGACTTTATACTCTGTGCTGGTGATGAGTAATGCTGCTATCTTCTTCCTTTCGCTTCGTGCAATCTGAATCGAAATTGTTCTTTGCAAACCTTAGCCCTCCCTTTCACCTGCTTTGCTCCCCTTGGAAACAGAAAAGCGACGGAATCTAATGCCCTTCTTACCTCTGCGCCTCCCCGCCCCCCCCCCCCCCGCCCTCTGTAGGTCGTCTTATCTAAGAACATTGGTGGTGGCAGTTGGTATAAAACAAACGTCACTAATTTTCCATTATTTCCACTCTTTAAGGAACATGCTTAGAATACTTTCATTTGGGAGTAACAAACCAAAACACTTGTGTGTTTTTTAAAAAAACCTGTCAATTTCAAATCAAATCCCAATCATTTTCACTTGAAAAATGCCCCCACTTAGCTTTCCTTTCAAACAGAAATCACTCCTGTCCTTCCTTCTGCGGTGCAGCCGTGGGTCAGCGTTCTTAGGGTTCACCCAGCCGTTGCGTGTTCTTCCCTGTAACTGACCAACAGGTGCAAGAGGCCACGGAGAAAACCGAACAGGCGCGGGAGAAGCGCTCGGGGCCAGGAGAGAACAAAGGAGACTTTGAACAGAGGAGAAGGTATTTACTCTGATTCTCTTTCATCTTTCAGTGGTGAGGGACACTTGCAGTGGAGGGACAGAAGAATTCAGCTCCTGCATTTCGGCCAGTAGGAAGGACCTGGTCAGTAGTACAACCGATATCCCGGAAAATGGGCTACAGCTCCGCGGTCTGCGCTTCCTGGCACCCACCCTTCCCCGCCTCCAGAAATGAAATGACCCTAAACTCAGTTACATATGTAAAGCATGGCTTTCCGGATTCTGTAGACGTCAGAGGCCCTAACACATCAGGTTACTTTAAACTAGCCGAACGCAGCCCAGGCTCCATGTATGCTGGACCCACATGGAGGAGTTGCGCAGCGCGCCGGGGCTGGCCTTGACCTTGGTCAATGCCTCCACCCACAGTGCAGTCGCCATGTGACCTTGCCTTCTCCTGGGAAGCATTCTTTGTTCTCCATTGTTGTGGGCTAAATGTTTGTGTCCCCCTCAAGCCCCTATGTTGAAACCCAGTGTGATGGCATTGGGCTCACCTTTAAGAAGAGGTTAAATCTAGATGAGGTCATGAGGGTGGAGCCCCAATAATGGGATTAGTGTCTTTCTAAGAAGAAGGAGTCAGAGCACTTTCTCTGTCATGGGAGGGCACACAGGAAGGTGCCCACTTGCAACAAGGAAGAGAATCCTCACTGGAACCCAGCTGTGCTGGTGCCCTGATCTTTGACTTCCAACCTCCACCACTGCGAGAAATAAACGCCTGTGGGTTAAGTCGGCCAGTCTACGGCATTCGGGGCATAGCCGCCTGAGCTAAGACAGTCACACTGTATGAAAACAAAGGGACAGGAGCCTCGAACCAAGTGTGATGGAGACTTTTCATTGAGGCACTCAGGACCCTTTTCCAAAAAGAAAACTTCTCTCTGAAAGATAAAGACTGTGACTGATACGTAGAAAACATTATGCCTCTTTAACAAATGGTAGCTATTATTGTTCTGGTTTTTATTTTGTTGTTGTTGTTGTTGTTGCTGCCAAGGTCATCTGGATGAACACAATAACAAATTTTGAAGCAACTATTTCTTCTTATTGAGAAGCTTTCTTAATGTGGCCTCCACGTCCAGTTTTAAAGAAATATATTTATAAAATTGTTTTTCTGGTTAACCGTTCTGAGATGGAGACCAGGCTTGTCAATCATTTTTAGTCCTTAAGACTTTTTCTTAAAGCTGTTATCCTTAATGTTACCTGTTCCGTGGCTACCCTGCTGGTTTGCGCTGTGACCAAGCAGGGACATTGTGCCTTGGCTTGTTCCAGTTATAATTAATAATTGTTGAACAACCAAACTGTCATTAATGAGAGAATGGTTATAAAATTGTGAGATACCCATACTAAAGGATACTCTGAAGGCATTAAATAAAATAAAGTCAATCAGTAGGTATTGACACTAAATTTGCTCTAAGCCATGTTAGCACGAAAACAACAACAAAACAGAGGGCACCCCCCCCCTCACTTCTCACACTGCAAAAATAAAGTAACACCCTGCATATTGCAGGGATGAGTGTGTTTGTGCAAGCACATGGGAAAGGAACGGAGTAAGATGCACTTAACTATTTAATGGTGAGCCCCCTGGACAGCCAAGTGGTGGTGCTTCTTAGTTTGGGGAGAAAGACTAATGAAGGGAGATTCTTTTTTTTGTTATCCTCACCCGAGGACATTTTCCCATTTTTTATTCAGATGGAGAGGGAGGGAGAGAGAGGAAGAGAGAGAAAGAGAAAAACATCGATGTGAAAGGGACACATCGAGTGGCTGCCACCCGCACGACCCAAACAAGGCCGGGGACAAACTGCAACCGAGGTACGTGCCCTTAGCAGGAACCGAACCCGGGTCTCTCTGGACCGCAGGGCAACGCTCTGACCGCTGAGCCAAACTGGCCAGGGCTGAAGGGAGATTCTTCATTGAGCATTTTATTTGAATCTTTTACAAGGAC